GGCACCCTTTTCATTCCTAGGTTACTCCTGGGTCTAGTGAGTCCTTGCTTGCCACGAAGACCGAAGACCATGAGTCCGTGAGTACATCACTTTTTCAGCCTCGGCGGCTGGACACAGCCCAGAGACTCCAATATCCCTTAATTAAGGAATATACTTTAAATGATATTCAGGATCCTACTATAATTTAAGGACAAATCCTTAATTAAGGGATATTAGAGTCTCTGGGAGTGCTGTTTCGGGTCCAGGTCTGTGCAAGAAGAGCTGCCCATGTCCTGAGTGTACTTGGAGGATGGTGATAAGTACCCCAATTGGGGTTATAATTAGAGTTACCTCATTTGTAACCCTAGTTACTAAGTCCCATGATCCTCCAAGTTGACTTCTCCGCAACTGGCGCACAGCCCAAAATCCCAGAAACTCCAATACCCCTTAATTAAGGAATATACCTTATAAATCATATATTAGGGATCCTATAAGGAATGTACCTTAAATCATATTTTAGGGATCCTACTATAATTTAAGGTAATATTCCTTAAGTCTCTGGGATGCGGCCTGAGGCTGGGTGGGCCTGCATCCGATGGCCTTCATGTGCAGCAGCCTCGGGCACCGGGAAAGTTGTGGAGTTCGCTGTGTCAAGACCACGGCACCACCGTAGTGTACTTAAAGGATCATGGGACTTAGCAACTAAGGCTATTATTAGGCTAACTATACTTATAACTACTTATAACCCCAATTAAGGTACTTATAACCATACTTACTAAGTCCCATGATCCTCCAAGTAGGCCTGCCTTCGACCTGCTGAGGCGTTCCAGTGCGCACGGCAGTCTTCCTGGGTGGACTAAGTCCGGCAGCCAAGCGAAGTATGGCTAACGTCCGGTGCTACTGCGCGAGTCCTGTGTTCCTTTCGGCCAAGGCTGCGCCGGCCTAGGCCTCTTTCTCTTGCGCTGGCCCCAGGCAGTGGAGGAGGCCTCGCGGAACGGGCGGGAGGGGCGGTTTCCGGGCTTCGGCTGTGGCTCGGTGCAGTCGGTGCTTCCATTTTTGCTTCTTTTGGGCACCGAGTAGGACCGACGGGCTTTCGTGGGCGGCTACTCAGACTGGAGCCGGGCTCTGTACCTCGGCCAACTGGAGCTTTCTGTGGTTTCTTTGGGGTTTCTTTGGTTTCTAGCACCTGGCAGCGCCTTATGAGCACGGGCTTCAGGATTTTCGGAGGCCTCTAAACAAAAGCTCCCTGCGAGTGTACCCAGGATTGACATCCTCGAGTTGTCAGCCGCGATCTCGGGGTGCACATTATGGCTTTCTGAGAGTTTGGGGGGACTTCTTGGCTCCTGAGGCAATCCTTTGGGGCTGTCTTGGAGCCATCGGTGCACTCTACATGAAGGCATGCCGCCTTCCTTTGCGCATGCCTTTCCCCATCGGCTGCCTTTGCCCTCCGAAGCAAATGTGTCTTTCGCCAGGAAAACTTCCTCCGTGCCTTCTTCTACTACGAGGCTTGTGTAGGGTTCCTTCGGATCGAAGCCCAGCCTAAAACAGCTCAGCAACGGGTAGGACCGTTCAAGAAGTGGGTACGAGGTTACCAGTAGCTGGAGTGGCATGTATGCCAGGTGAGGGAGAATTGAGGGCCTTCTTCTGTCGCTTCAGCTGCAGCTGAAGGTGGTTCGTGTAGCTGCCTGGCTGCTGACGTACCTTCTTGATGCTCCTCGGCATCTCTTGTGCCTGTGAACACTAAGTCGTTCCCCTAAACCCCAAACCCATAAACCCAAAACCCCTAAACCCCCAAACCCCAACCTCCTAAACCCTAACAAAACCTCTAAGTTACGAAGCCCCAAGCCCCTAAACCCCCAAACCCCCAAACCCCAAACGCCCAAACCCCCAAACCCCAAGCCCCGAAACCCCTAAACCCCCAGCCCCAACCCCCTTACCCCCCAAACCCTAAGCCCCCCTAAACCCCAAAACCCTTAACCCCCAAACTCCAAACCCCTCAACACACAAACCCCAAGCCCCTAAACCCCTAAGCCCCTAAACCCCCTGAACCCCTAAACCCCCAAACCTCCAAACCCCCAAAACCTCTAAACTCCCAAACCCTCCAAACCCCAAGCCCCTAAACCCCTAAGCCCCTAACCTAACCCCTGAACCCCGAAACCCCCTAAACTGGCCCTGAACCTAAAGGGTTTACCCTCAACCCGAAGTCCTTCCTCTAAGCCCCTGTCTGTGGGTTAAGGGGTTTGGGGGTTTGGGGGTTTAGGGGTTTAGGGGGGGTTTGGGTTTGGGGGGTAAGGGGTTGGGGCTGGGGGTTTCGGGGTTTAGTAAA